AAATGAGAGCTGAGCTGGATATAGTATTCTAGGTTGGTAGTTACTTTCACTTAATAGTTTAAATATATGATTCCATTTCTTTCTGGCTTATAAGATTTACGTTGTGAAATCCAAGGATAATCTAATGGGTTTACCTTTATAAGTTACCATTTTTTTCCCCCCTTGGCTGCCCTGAGAGTTCTTTCTTTGTCATTGATTTTTGATAATTTTAATACTATGTGTCTTGATGAAGGCCTTTTTAGATTGAGATAATTGGGTGTTCTGTTGACTTCTTGAATTCTAAGCTCCAGCTCATTCTTTAGATTTGAGAAATTCTCGTCCACTATTTGTCTGAGATGCTTTCTAATCCCCACTCCTTTTCCTCCACTTTGAGAATTCCATTATTCTTATGTTTCCTCTGCTGATCAGCTAGTTCTTGCATTTTTCTTTCATTAATTTTTATTCTTCTGTTTCTCTCTTCCTTTTTCTAATTTATTTCTAGATTTCTGTCTTCGATATCACTGATCCTTTCCTCCATTTGGTAGACTCTATTTTCCAAGCTTGCTATTTCATTTTTCAGCTCTTGCAGTGTGTTCTCCATTTCCAGAAGTTCTATTTGGTTCTGTTTGAGATTTTCAATCTCCTTGCTAAAAAACTCATTCTGGTGATCTATTTGTTTTTTCAATTCTGGAATTGTTGATATTAATTATTTTGGATCTCATTGAGTCTTTTCAGAAGTACTATTCTGAATTCTCTGTCATTTAACTAGCATATTTCTCTGTCTTTAAGCTAATTTTCTGGAGATTTTTCTCTTTCTTTCTGAGATGCCTTGTCACCTTTGTTATTCATGGTGTTTAATGAACTATTTCTCTGCCTGGGCATGAATAGAAGTGTATTCTGCTTTTTTCCCCAGTAAGAAGATTATATAAAAGCCTCTCTTTAGCCTGTGGTAGCTCTCATGCACAGATCCTACACTCAGACATGCTGGTGTGCAGGTTTGGTGTTTTTTGTTGATTTTTTGGTATTCAGCTTATTGATGTTTCAAGGGGGGAGATCTGGGAATATCTCTCACTCCACCATGTTTCAGGCATCACCCCCCAACTTCATTCTTTTGCACGTTGATACCCAGTTGTCTCAGCACCATTTGTTGAAGAGACTCTTCTTTCCTCCATTGGTGATATTGGCACTATTGTTGAAAATGTATAGAACACTTCTATATTTCTGAGCAACTTTCATAGCATAATCACTATTTGTTGCTTCTTTAATTTTTACTCTTTTATTCTCATTAGCCATGTTAATCCTATCCTCAAGACATCACAGTGCTTCCTCTAACCTAAGATTAAGGCTATTTCTCTCGGTAGCCATTGTTCAATTAATTTGGCCTCTTCTGAAGTCCCATCATACTGTTATATAATTCTTCACTGTAATGTACATTTTCCCCTGGTAGAGACTGTCCTATTGACACACATCTATAAATTATACTCATACTCCTCTTTCAATGACCTTTTAAAAAGCCACCTCCCCTCCTTTGTTACAGCTGGAAGAACTTTTCAGGCCCTGCCTCTAATTTTTCTCCCAAGGTCATGGGTTCCACTGTGGCTTCAAGTTAGACTCATTCATTTATGTATTTATTCATTCAACAAATACTTTTTAAATCCTTCTAAATGCCATTCATTGAATTTAATGCTGGAATTTTCCAATGTGTGCCCAATTTCTCTGGAGTGTATTTTATTCAGGTTAGCTCTTTGGTTGTCTATTCCAGCTCTTCCCTTTGGTTGTAGTGTTTTAAGTGCCTTTGACTTCATGCTTATCTTTCCTCAAGTTCCTGACAATATACCCTGGGTTATGAGCCCTGTGCTCACTGCATGGCTAGAAACAGAGATCACATAATTTTCCTTAAAAACATTATTTTTTCTCTTTATGATATAAAAAGTAGCTATCTTGTACATAGCACATAGTATAGCTACCTACTATGTGCTGGATGTTGAGCTGGACGCTGGTTATCTTTAACGCTTATTCTGCTAATCATTGTTCCAGGCACTGAGGATACAGTTGTGAACAAAACAAAATTCCTGCCTGAAAGGAGCTTATGTTCTCTCACAGTCTTTAACATGATTCAGAAAAGTACAGAGAAGTTAAGTAACCTGCTGCAAACCACACAGCTATGAAGTGGCACAGCTGGAATTTGCACCTAATTCTCTGATCCCAGCACGTATACTCTCCCTACTCAATCAAGCTACCTCTCATGGTCTCACTCCAGGCAGTAACTCAGATTTTCTATGACAGAATTTCTCAACCCCAAAACTCTCACATTTTACAAATCTATTAAAACCTTGATTAATGATAACAATTGCAGAATGCATACTAGGGTACATGTAACTTAAAGGTTAACTATAATTTTTTATTTGTTTTTACCTTAATTCTTAATATCCTTTAAAAATATGTTAACTTTCCTTCTTTTATAAAAATAGTAATAGTGCTCCTTTAGATAATTCAGGGTTTTCCTTTACCTTAGGGTTATTATTCTAAGTAGCACTATAGATTCCCAGTATAGCAGAGAAAAAAATGAAGTAAATTGTATTAAAATTCACTGACCCAAAGAAATATACTTGAAAGTAATGTTCAAAGGTAATGTTTAAATTTTTATTACGTCCTTGATATAAACTGATTTTGTCTTTTGTCTTTTTATTTTTTCCCAAAAAAGGGTAATGCTAAAAGAAATCTGTTCAAGTTTAAGTCAGTACTCCTTGAGTTAGTAGACAGTATTCTAGTATTGGCTATTCTACAATGAATTAGATAAACTTGTGCAACTTAGGTCTGTAAAATGAAGGAGAATGGATTAAGCATGATGCTGTTTGTGTAGTGCTTTACATTTTCAAGTGCAATATTTGTATATCATCTGACTTGATCATAGCAATGAGTTCATTATCCTAATTTTCTATATGTTTCAAATTAGGTTCAGGGGCATGCCCAAGTGATAGAGACTTAATTTTAACCTTAATCTTCAGACTCTAACCCCATGCTCTTTCAGAGGTGAGAGGAACTGCAATGTCCCCTACAATTCTAACAATTTAAAATTCTTATAGCCAGGCTACTTGAGTTTTGATTAATCTAGGTTCTATTTACTTGGCTCTATTTTATCATCTGTCTGAATATCTGCTAAAAGGCCCATCAATATGAACAATATAATTATGTCAAAATTTGTTGAAATTTGAGTTCCTAGAAATCAAGAACTTTTTACCTTCTTAAAAAGTAGCTTAAATATGAATAATTCATATTTATTGAGCACTTACTTTGAGCCAGGCACTATTCTAACCTCTTTATACATATTAACTCATTTAAGTCTTCGAACAACCCTATGAAGTAGGTAACATTATGATGCTTATTTTTTAGATAATGAAAACTAAGACACAATGAAGTTCAGCATCTTAGCCAAGATCTCATGGTCTGTAAGAGTGCATTATTTGCTTACAATTTTTCTTTATTGCCTTTTCCTTTCTCCATAGAAGTATTCTTCCCTGTTCTTTTGACATAAGCTTTTGCCAATGGAATGTTAGTTGGCATGACATAAGTAAAGGTTTTAAATATGTCTGTGTGGTTTGACTTTATTTCTTGCACTTCTTCCATCTACCATGGGGAAACATATCCTGAACAGCTTCTTCAGAATGAGGAGATAATGGAACAGACTGAAACCCAACCTACAGCCTGGACCCAAGCTTAGCTGATCCCACAGTCAATTCACTGGTTTGCAAGTGAGAAAAATAAAGGAGATTTGATAGTTACTTGTTACACAGCATTATTTCAGCAAAATTGTGACTAATATACACAGCTAGAATGAGGCACAACCAGAACTCAAACTACATAGCCTATATTTGATTTGAACCACTTCAAATCAATTGGAGCCACTGCTCTAAAAGTACTCAGTTCACAATACAGAGAAGATTAGCATGGCCTCTATGCAAAAATGACATGGAAATTTGTGAATTGTTCCATATTTTTAATGTATAGCATAGAGAATATAGTCAATAATATAGTAACTATGTATGGCGATAAATGGTTACTAGACATTGTGGTGATCACTTCATAAGCTATATAAATGTGTAGTCACTATGTTGTACAGCTGAAACTAATATATTGTATATCAACAATAAATAAGTAAATAAGTAAATAAGTAAATAAATAAATAAATAAACAAACAAACTCGGTTTGCAACTATTTGACCTGGAATACAGGCTACCCGTGCTCAAAATATTGCACTTTGAAAGCATATCTAGGACATAAAGGGGATGATATTACTTCCCTCAAGGCAGACAGCTTTGTACTTATTTAGACTTGCTCTAGCTCCATTAAAAATAACTGATGTATTTTGCTCTTGGGGGCCACATAGCCCAGTTCAATATATTCTGTAAACTGACTTGGACAAAGAGATGTGTAGTTAGTATCTTTCCTTGGCTTTATTTTTTCTTTTTTAATGGAATCATAAACTTGGGCAAAATATCTTGTTTTTATGATGCTGCACAAAGGACATGCGAAGTCTTGTAATAGTTCTTTCAAGATTTTTTCCTCTGCTAGCATCTGAAACAATGCTATGAACTGTGTTTGACTCCATGTGGCAACCATAAAGTTTAGTACTTTCCTCTACCTACTGTCTGATTTGGCTTTTTTGTGTGGGGCCAAGTCGGATGGTGCCTTCAATCACAGATGGTGTCCCTGCCATGCCTAGATGCCTGGTTCAAGATTCCCTAAGTCTTAGGTAATCAGGAATGTAAATCTATTCATTTACTCAGTAAATATTTATTGAGCATTTGTAGAATGCAACATTGTGCTAGACAGGCGCTGAAATGTAATTTGCTATTTCTTCTACACCATAAACAGGTGACAAAAGAGAATGCAAAATTAAGCTATAAGCAGAGCGAGCCTGCAAAGCTTTCCTGCCTCTTCCCTTCACTTCTAGTGAAGCTTGGCATTGTCTCCTCCTGCGCCCCCCTCATCTTTCCAGTCTTTCCCAGCCCTGCCTGACCTCTGGCTACACCTTTTCACTTTTATCCCACACATTTATGTTCTCTCCACAGACAGGGGCGGGCTTTTATATACCCCCTTTAGCAATGTAATTTTCCCCTACATGTGAATCAAACCGCCTTAACTCCAATTCAGGAATCTGACACTTAGGGACAGCTGATATTTCTGATATGCATAGACAGAACATCACGTTGGTGGAATGAAGCTGCTGTTGACAATGTTTCAGAATATAGAGGCACAGAATATGGTATGACTTTTGTATGCTCTGGCTACCTTAACCTCTTTGAGCCTCAATATCCTCACTTATAAAATGAATACACATACATACACGCACAAAAAAACAACCTGAATGCCCCCTAACAAAAGATTAGTTAAAGAATATGTGGAATATACATATTCAGGATTTTATGCAGTCATTTTTAAAATGAGGTAGATTTACATGAACACACGTGAAGAGATAACCATAAGTTATTAAGAGTAAAAAGCAAGTCAATATATGCATGATCCCATTTACAATACAAAACATATATATTATTAGAGTTTATTATACATAAGATCTGTGCTAAGTACTCCTCATATGGGGTCATATTTAATCTTTATAATAACTCTGCAAGTTAGGTACTATTATCCTCCCTCCACCCTATATTACAGGTGAGGAAATAAAAGACGATAAATAATTTCTAAGATTAGCGAGTGTTGGGAAAAGGATTTGAACTTCAGATCTCCTACTTTCCCTGAGGTATAACTCTGTAGAGAAAATGGAGTAAAAAAGACTAAAGCACTGTTCCTAGTCTTCTCTTTGCTTACAGGCTTTTAGTCCCTCCAGTAGTTTCTCATTGTTTGAAACTTGCACTACTGGCGGTAGTAGAGGTAATTTCAGGAATAGCTTTGGCAGGCCTCACATCCACCATTAAATAGCATTAAGCCACATAGTGAGAGCATTATTTACTGTACAATTCTTTTTAATCCTCTGATTACAACATTACCAAAGTTTCAACTTGGGGCTGGTCTTTAACTCCCTCTAACACTTATTAATCTGTTGTTTTGTTTGTTTGTTTGTTTGTTTTACAGAAAGCCCATTTCATGTTATGAGCAGGCAAGTGTTATTTAGTTAGACTTTAGTAACCTTGTTCTATTTTCATTGTAGTTTTATCTATGGTTATCTTCTTCTATACAAGGTGAGTGATATAAGTATTCATTTATTGTAATGATAAAGTGTTTACTCTTTTAAGGAGATATATTTGAGACTTTTTTCATTTAAATGTATTAACTTAAAGAAAACTATTAACTAGCAGGATGAGGTATACAAATACAAGTCAGTACTTCTATGACTGAATTATTAAATATTTCACTTTGCTAAATAACAAAGCAAATAGCCCAAATAACCATAAAACTGAACTTACCTGTCTACCTACACCAACCATTTGTTAATCAATTGATGCCAATGGGATAACACAAATAATATTTATTTTTGTATAAATAGAATTTATACAATAAAATGTAAAGTTTATACTGCTATTCAATTAGGAACTCAAAGAAGAATGTAGTTAAGAACATAATAACTGATGCTTATTTATCACTTAATACAAGCCAGTCACTATTCTAAGTATTTTACATATATTAACTGACAACAACACTGTAATATGGGTACCATAATCTCCATTCTACCGATGAGGAAACTGAGATACAGAGAAATAACATATCTAAGGTCAAATAAATTATAAGTCTATGCTCTTAATCATTATGCTGTACTACCTCATGATAATAAAATTACTCTAAATAATTATGCAAATTTTTATTATTCTTCCTAACTGCTTACAGGGGCTCCAGAAATTGAATCCCAACTTTCAGCTGTCATGCCAATCATTAACTTGCCATCCATATTCTCTTCTCAGAAAATCTGCTTCATCTTCCACCATTGAACTATTATGATGTCCCCATTCTAGTCACAGGTAATTGGACCAAGGGTTTACAGCTGACTTTCTTCTGGGAATTCAGAATTGTAGCACTATGAAACTTAATATAGAAATTGGGAACTGAGAGACCGAATCTTGGAAATAAAATCAAGTAGAGTCAGGGCAGGAGTCAGTGCCATGGCAAGCCAACACTACACATGAGCTGAAGTTCTGGAGGTGTAAAAAAGCCACAAGAGATAGGACCCAGGAAAAGAAATTGTGCTGTGGCTCCATAAAAGCTGACAAGACCCCCTACAATGCCTGCCATCCCAGTTCCCATTCCTTTTTGGCCTGGCCATAATCCAGTTTTCATCCTCCAGTGGCCGTGAGAATGTAGCATTTAATATTACAATCAATACCGCTTTACTTCAAGCTACAGTGAGTAGATTTCTATCTCTTGATATCAAGCAGGCCTAAATAGGAGTAAAGTTGCATACAATAGATCTTGAGAAAGTGTGGACTGGTGGTAGGATTGGTGGCAATAAGGTGCCCCAGTCCCTGGATGGGAAAATGGTAATTCATATAGTGGTGGCAAAGCCAGTGGCTTACAGCCAGCTGTCTCAAGGATCTCTGAATGAGTGCCCATCAAGGAGGAAGATTTGCAAGAGTTGGTAGCCAAATATAAGGATATCTAAGTGAGTCAGTTTCATCTGGTGAAATATCAAGAATAAATAAGAATATCAGGATAGAGACGAATTCTTTACAGAGTGCTCGGCTGGAGGAAGATAAGGAAAAGCAAGGCACTTAGTTAATTTTCATGAGCCATTCTTCTTGTCTGTAGCAATGTGTCCCAAGGCAATTCCCTAGGGTTTGAAACAGTTTCAACAGTAAACTTTATCAGACCACTGAGTGATGTTTTCAAAAGTGGTTAGTAGTCCTGACAGTCATAAATAAATCATCTTGCAGAAATTATTTAAATTATACATTATTGGTAATGATTATTCAGGCATAATGAACTTAATTGATTGTAAGAGTGGTTTTTTTTTTTAAGATAATGTAATAACTGCCAGTGTTAGTTTGTTGTTTTGAAGTGTGCACTAGTGGGAATGATTTAAAACTTTAAAGCATTTGATTTGCATTAGTTGTGAGAGATATTTCAAAATATGTCAACAGGATTGGTGCTCTCCCTGGATTGACCTGTCACCAAAAGATAAAGCTTTGGTTAATGCTCAAAGCCTCCTATTTTGAACCAGATATCTCAAGCAAATTCACAAAATCCAGTCAGTTCATTGGTTCTTGTCTCCTCCAACCAAAGAGGGAAAAAATAAGAAAGAAATCTTGCCACCAACCACTCCTCAGTCAGTTGAAGTCAGGCTGATATCCTCCAGATGCAGCGAAATATTACATAAACCTGTCTTCCTTGTTCCTCCCTCCAAAACTCAACATGGACCAACCTGTAGATCCAGAGAAGAGAATAAATAACATTTTAGTGAGTATGTGTGGCAGTCATGGAGATGTGCTGCTCAGATAGCCCTTCAAGAAAGAACTTGCCATTCAGCACCAAGGAGCTCGATCAGCTGACAGCCTCCAGCTATAATGCCTTCAGAATCTGCCTTAGCTTTGGAGCTGAGGCCAAGCTTTTCCCTGGCAGCCCCAGCCAATGACTCAGCATGGCAGAAATCCAGAGACTGGCCATTTCTGCCCAAAGCAAGACTCCTCTAACAGCAACTTTTCTTCAGAGTTCATGGTTGGGTTGGTAAGACTTTGTTAGATCTGTTTCTCAATCTGCAGGCTTTCCTTGCCCAATCCTGTTTCGGCCTCATTTTATTTTTCATAAGCTTTACCCCCAGTAAACCTATTGCACTCCTAATTCCATTTCCATGTTAGTTTTACAGAGGACCCACTGACACAGTGTGATTTTACATTTGGCTGCTGCCATCCCTGAACCAAGACCACCACTATCTTCATGAGGAGCTGTTAGATAGGAAAAGAACGTGGATGAAAAATGTTCATAAAATATTTTACTACTAATTTTAAGTCATAACTAATCCAACATGCTGGAGGTCTGAGTTGACTGGGACCCACATGAGGAAACTGTTGTGAGCCTAGCTGGATGCAGTCATGAGCCAGACTGAACAGCACTATCTGGCTTGTATGCTGTGCTGGCTTCCTTGAGTTAAAATTAATGCCCTAATTGGAAATGACTCAAATATTGCTCATTGTAATGAGAATGTTATGAAGGGGCCAAAGGAATTTAAAAACTCTGAACCCTGGAACTCCTCCAAAGCCCTGAGTCCTCCCAACAGGATAAGTGTGATGATCCCTCCAAATAAAAGGCCAAATCTGAGATTCAGATGGGCTGATGATAAGCAAAACCACTGAAGCCCTTGCTACATGTCAAATGCCAAGCTAGACACAGAAGACATAGTGAGAGAGAAAAAAAATCCTTGCCCTCATTGAGTGTGCATTCTAGTGAGTGGGATGCGAAAAGGGAGCCAGATAATAAAAAGTAAAGTATGTTATATATTAAATGGTTATAAATGCTGTGAAAAAAAATGATGCAGAGAAGGGGGATAGACCACTGGAACAGGGCTGCAATTTTTAATAGGGTATCAGAGAAGGCCTTACTGATAAGGTATCATTTGAGTAGGAGGTAAGGAAGTGAGCTATGCATATGTAAAAAAGAAAAGCATTCTAGTCAGAAAGAATAGAACTTGCAAAGACTCTGAGATGAAAATGTACTTATCATATTTGGGAAATATCCAGAGTGGTAGGACATGAGATTAGAGAGACAGCTAAAGTCAGATCATATAGGGCCTTGTAGGACACTATTAGGACTTTAACTTTGATAAGAGTGAAGAACCATTGGAGGATTTTGATCAGAGGAATGACACAATTTGGCTTATTTTAACAAGTTCACTCTGGCCACTATGTCGATGATAGACCAAAGAGGAGCTTGAGTGGAAGCAGGGAGAGCAGTGAGAAGCTACTGCAACATGACAAAATGATAATGGCTTGGAACAAATGGGGTAGCAGTGTAGGTGAAAAGAAATGGTTGGATTTTGGATATATTTTAAAGTAGAAACAATAGGATTTGCTGATTGATTGTATGTGTGGCATATAAAAGAGAATTAAGGATGACTCCAGAAGTTTTGTCAGAGTAACTGAAAGAACAAAGTTATTATTTCCTGAGATGAAAGACACTGTAGGATGAGCAGGTTTAGAAGGAAGACCATAAACTCCATTTGGGACATTTGAAGTGTAAGATGCCAATTACACCCAAGTGAACATTTGAGGAGGCAGTTGTACCATCAGAAAATTCTCAGGATTTGTTCTTGACTCAAATCAACCCAGAAGACAGTCTATCCAAGTAATTGCTAGGCTTCAATTTAAGAAATGCCAACCCTTTCCAGAAGGAACCATTTTGATGGTACATTCTCCCACAAGAAAATCCTACCATTTCCTTCCTCCGATGTTCCATATAACAGTAAGTGGTGACACCATCTATCCTGAAACCCTAAAAGTCACTCTCCTCTCTCTAAATGTCTCCTCATCACATACATATCTAATCAATCCCTAAGTTCTATTTATCCTCCCTCCTCTATGTGTCTAAGTCCATTTACATTTTTATCATTATTGTTATCCTCCTGGTCCAACTATCATCATTGTTCACTTGGACCACTGCACTTGCCTCCTATCTGGTCTCCTATGTTCTCTTACCTCCCTTCCATACATTCTTGATTCCACAAAGAAAGGGAAAGTTAGTATACAAGTTTGCACAGAAGTGCCCAGCATCCCCTCCTCCCAACCAGCTCTTGGGCTCAAAATCTAGTGGGTAGAAGGGTTAGAAACTTCCATATAGTTGTGTAGGAATTCAATAATATAAGGAGTAGTATTGAATAGTAGCAAATTATGATAATTGACACACTTCTAAATTGGATAATGACAAATAATGGTCATTGAATTTGGGGAAAATAATAAATTGAAATGAGCGTACTGGAAAGGGATAAAATAAGTTATGTGTCTTTGCTAGACAGTTCCTTGATATAAAGCTGAGTTTGATCACAGAAAATAATGTTACATTTCTTTGCACATCTGCATCAGGTAGACAATGTTAACCTGGTTCAATGGGCCATTACCCTTCCATCTGTATATACTCCTCCTCTGCCTGAATGTTCCCTCCCCACCCCAAACAGATTGCTATTTATCCTTCAGATCTCAGCCTCAATGGTTGCCTCAAAGAAACCTTCCCTGTCCCCAGATTAGATCAGTTCCCCCTTATGTCTGCTCTTAACACCTTCTGCATGTCCTTTACAGCACTTATCACAAGTGCAATTGTGCAATTACTCATTTAAGTCATTTTTTAATGTCTATCTTCTCTAGAGCATAAGCACCTGAGCAGGGATTATGCCTGTCTTTCTCACAGCAGATAAACAAGATATACCCTAAATTTCAAAGGCATAGCACAAGGTCTAGTGTATAGTATGTGCTCAATAACTTTGTGTTGACTGAATGGAAATTTTCAACAATAATCTGGAATTTTTTTCCTTCCTTTATCACACCCGCCTTCAATCATATAGGCAGCTCTGTGCCTCAGGGGAGGTATGTGATAGGACAGAAAGTCGAAAAAGTTTGCATATCTTTCTGGGTTTTGTTTTTTAAAAGCCTAAGCCTTTTGGAAAATATTCATAGATCTATATAGAGTTTCTTGAAGAAATACGTAAGGAAAACGATTTCCCTCAGACTAGAAAAAAATGGTCCCAGACTATCAGAAGTAAATGCTGATAGAACCCGAGGGAAAGGAGACCTGCATCTAATTCTCAGCAATGCCCTTGGGAAGGAGCAAGACCCAATAGAGAAATGGGTGCCACATGGTCAGGGACAGCATATGTCTCAGTGTAAACCAATTACAGAGGATGAGATGGACACTTACACACAGACATACACAGTACCTTGACCCTGGATAAGATCCCAGATATGGATAACAACCTTCAGAAAAGGAAAATGATTGAAGTGACATTTTGGAAAAATGTTAAGGTCATTTCTTGCACCCATGGGTTTGTGAAATGAAATTCACTAATGCTACACTCTTGATTTATCAAAGATGTATTTATATACAGGTTAGCTTTCATGTCATATTCAGCTTATTCTAATGTAATAATTTAAAACTGGACTCCCATGTATGGTGTTGAAAAAACCTTTTATACTTTACAATCACATTTGTTCTTTGTAATAATCCTGCAAGAGAGGGAAAATATATATTACTCCCATCATCCCATTTTACAGGTGAAAAAACTAATTCAGAGAGGTCAAATAAATGAACAAATGTCATATAGCTATACTAGAAGCAGTAGTGACCGTCTGACCACATTTTGGATCAATTTGTCCCAGCAGTTAATTTGCATTTTTCTAAATTTAGTTACAATTTTCAAATATTCTTTATATAACTGATGCTACATTATTTAGTTGTCGCTGAATTGTTAAATTTTCTTGTCTGTTGGTACAACTAAACTTTTTTTTTCTTTTCCATGAAACACAGTCTGCTAAAATTACCTGCTGTTGTTTGTGATTCTGGTGGTGATGCTGCCATCTGGAGAGAGGGGAGGCAGCTTGAGTGAAATTCTCATGTTTGATGTCTTCAAAGTGGGTCCTGCAATTACTTCTCTTTATTTTAAGTATTATGGTGTAGTAGGGCTACTCAGATTGTACAATGTGGTCCTAAGGTTTTTTAATGTTCCCCCAAATTCTGAGACTTGTTTTATAATCATGACTGCACAAAAACTTTCAATGGCTTAGCAGACTTACATAGTTACGAAGAAGTTTGCTTCCATGAAATACTCATGGAATAAAAAATACTTTCTTTGGTATTCAGCTATGTTAATGCCATTGGGAAGATGATCCTATGTTAGCCCTCCACCTTAATATTGTATATTGTTATTATAACAGTATTCCAAAGGCATTCGTTAAAAATAAAAATGTGATAAACCACTTTATTTCTTTCTAACATATTCAAATAGAGGGACAAAAGGGAGGCCGAAGCACTAAACAGAAATGATTTTATAACTATGAACATCAATCAGTGATTACTTGAACAATATGATAAAAAAACAGTATGATAAAAGACCTACTTTGTCTATTTCTCCATTTACATCCCCAAAATAAGCATACAGTTTATGAGAAAAACCAGTTTCACTGAGAGTATAACTATAAAGACAAAAGCATGATAGTGTGGAGCAGAGAATTCTGGGCTAAGAGGACAGCCATGAGGGCTTCCAGCCAGTTTTGTTGCTGGCTTGTCAGCAAATCATTAGCCTCTTTATGTGTAAGAGTCTTATTTGTGAAATAAAGATCCCTCCACCTGTTTTTTATCAAGTGTAAATGTATGTTAGGAGGATTAACTGTACAATCCCTTGAGCTCCAAGGGAAAAGTGAAGTGTGTAGGCAGCAGCTGAAG